AACAAAATAAGTGGGAATACTTCTTCTGATATCCACGCGAAACTATACTCAAACTGGGACGACTTAAAAACGTTCCTTATACAAAAATTTTCGCAGACAAAAACTCTTTCACATCTAAATCTCGAACTACAATCACTCTTTCAGAAACCAAATGAATCGGTAACGGAATTTTTCCACCGCGTAGATTTATGTAGAAATAAAATCTTAGAAAAATTAACAACTGAAGTGGTAGATGCGACATTAATAGGACGGAAAACTACTACGGAAGAAACAGCTCTGAACGTTTTTATTAATGGATTAAGTTCTGACATAGGTGTAATGTTAAGAACAAAAGGTTTTGATTCATTAACTCATGCTGGAAACTTTGCAATTCAAGAAGAAAAAATTCGAAAAATGAATACGGCTAGGCAAAGTTTGTTTAAAAATAGTCGAATAACAACACCGCTATATAGCAATGTCGTTCGTCAACCACCTCAGATCAATCAACCTCAAATACATAAACCACCAGATAAACATACTATTAATACCAATCCGCGAAAATTTATTATATGTAATTATTGTAAAAAACCCGGGCATCATATAACTAATTGTAGAAAGAGAATATTTAATAATAGTCGTAATAACCAATTTCCGCGAAATAATCCGACTCCAGCTCGAGTAAATCATTTAAACTTGCAACCGGCCGAGCTGACGGGCACAGTTTCGGAAACGGTTCCCACGTATTGCCCAAATATTTCAATGATCACCGAGGGTCAGGATATTGCCCTAGAACCTCAAATAAACGATCTTCAAATTCAGTAAAATTCAATAGTAATCAGTGTCATACTACATTATCTAATACAAACATCACTACACAAGCGCAAACAATTCCAGTCCATCGGGGACAATTAAGCGATGTGTGTACTTGTGATAATAAAACTACGATAGCTACTAAGACAAACTTAGAGCTCTCTGAATCATTAATCATTAACCTCACAAAAATCACTGAATCACTTATAAAGGTCACAGAAACCTTACTAACTCAATCAAAGAAACCTATTAACTCTGTAGATTGTATCACTAATTCGACTAATTCTGAAAAAGATCAATGTCTAAAACCTATATTAAAAGAATCTAATTCAAATCCCACGTGCAATCAACAAACTACAAAGACTAAAAAATCAAAAAAATCTCGTAAATCGAAACAAAAATCAAAAATAAAACTAAAATCGAATCAAATAAAGAAAAGAGCTTATCCTAATGAATCTTACAATATCTCTACATTAAATATACCTCCTGAAAATCTTTTGCACTGTAAATTTCATATTGATGGCCAACCAGTTACGTTATTAGTAGACACGGGAGCAGCCATTTCAGTTATAAATAAAAATAAAATCGGTTACCATCGATACATCAAACGTCGTTTCTATTATTGGTATCTCTAATGAAAATTCGCCTTTTCAAACATGTGGCACATCCCACATTTCATTAGATCAATTTCCAAAATTTAAATTCCATGTCGCAAATTTAAACATACACGCTGATGGTATACTCGGTAATGATTTCATGTCAAAATTCAATGTCAACATTTATATTCAATCAAAAACGATGCGAATACATGACAGGACTTATCAGTTGTTCCTTCTGGGAGATGAACCAAAGTACTTTGATAATGGTAAACAAATTATCAAACGTCGTTCGGAGACAGTTATATCATGTTTAACTAATGATATCTCAGACGGAACTGCAATGATAAATAAGCAAAACATTAGTAACGATATCTGTATTCCTAATGCTCTTGTTAATGTCAAAAATAATAGCTTTCTCATTACTTGTGTAAACTCGAGTGATAATGACGTATATATTTCAACGCCTATTATAGATGTAAATTCTGTTAACGAATCGGAACTAATTCAACAGTCTGTTTCCTTACCCAATTCACAAATTAACAACATCTCTATAAAACAAAGAATAGATATCGGGAGCCTTATAAGGTGTGATCATTTAAATAAAGAAGAAAGCGAATCTCTCGATAAAATAACTTCAGAATATTCGGACATTTTCTACGTGGAAGGCGATCCACTAACGTTCACGAATCACACTAAACATTCTATTCCTACTACGTCAGATATACCAATTAATACTAAAACTTATAGATTCCCTCAAGTACACCAACAAGAAGTAAGAAATCAGATAGACAAAATGTTACAACAGAATATTATAAAAGATAGTACTTCTCCATGGAGCAGTCCAATCTGGGTAGTTCCAAAAAAATTAGACGCGTCTGGAAAACAAAAATGGCGTGTTGTAATTGATTATAGAAAATTAAATGACGTCACTATTGGAGACAGTTACCCGTTGCCTAACATAACTGACATACTAGATAAGTTAGGACATTCAGTATATTTCACAACTTTAGATTTAGCATCCGGTTTCCATCAAATTGAATTAGACCCCAAGGATATTCCCAAAACTGCCTTCAGCACTCCTTTTGGTCATTACGAATTTTTAAGAATGCCTTTCGGACTCAAAAATGCACCAGCTACATTCCAACGTGCCATGGATAGTGTACTTTACGGATTACAAGGAGAACGATGCTTTGTTTACCTTGATGATATCGTACATCAGCCTTCAAGAACATAAACAGAAATTAACTGAAGTATTCGATCGGTTACGAAAATACGGTCTGAAAATACAACCAGATAAATGCGAATTCTTGAGAAAAGAAGTTGCTTACCTGGGTCATATTATATCGAGTGAAGGTGTAAAGCCAAATCCCGAAAAAGTAAAATCAGTTCGTGAGTTTCCAGTCTCTAAATCATGTAAAGATATTAAATCATTTCTTGGTCTCGCAGGCTACTATCGTATTCATACCTAACTTTAGTAAGCTCACTAAGCCTTTAACAAGCTTATTAAGAAAGGATGTTCCGTTTACATGGAGTTGTGTACAACAGCAGGCTTTTGACTCCTGTAAGGAAATTCTCACAACGACTCCTCTGTTACAATATCCCGATTTTACTAAAGAGTTTATATTAACTACGGATGCTTCAATCCACGCTATCGGAGCGATTCTCTCGCAAGGTGAAATTGGCAAAGATTTACCTATTGCTTACGCATCACGTACGTTAAATAAAGCTGAAAGTAATTACTCTACCATAGAGCGCAAACTTCTCGCAATAGTATGGGCCGTGAAACACTTTCGACCATATTTATTCGGTAGAAAATTTAAAATATTTACTGATCACAAACCACTCACATGGTTATTTTCCATTAAAGATCCGGGATCACGTCTCGTTCGCTGGAGACTGAAACTAGAAGAATATGAATATGAAATAAATTACAAAGCCGGAAAAAATAATACAAACGCCGATGCTTTATCACGACCACCTATATTAAATATGGGTACAGACAACCCTGAAAAACAATTTGAAACATTATTAAAAACAAACTATGAACAATTCTTATCTCAAGGTTGTAGCGCTAATTCACATAAGCTTAAAACTTCACCTGAAAATCTTTTAGAGTCTAATCATAAAAATATCTTCATCCCTGTGTCGTGTCAAAAATCAGATCTTAATAACTTATACAACGAAGCTTTAGATCTATGTGCTTCCCAAAGCAATCAACCTGAAACAGAAAAGCAAGTCTACGACATAGATAAAATAACTTCTGAATATCAGCAAAACATTTTCCTTTGTTATACTAGAACATCATACTATGATCCATGGGACGCGGAGAGTTATTTTAAATCATTGTTATCGTGCTTACATAAGCATAATATTGAAACTTTGTATATACCGAACCTGAAATATGATCAAACTTGCAAGCTTCAGGGCAACCAACAGCTACATATCTCAGCTTATTTGGCAGAAATATATAATTGCAATATAATCATTTGCGAGAATAAAATTACTCATCCTTCGCCTCAAGAAATTCCCAGCATTCTAAAAACATACCATGATGAACCGCTCTCAGGACATCGAGGTATAATTGAAACCACTAGGAAAATTCGAGAACATTACTTCTGGAAAAACATGGCCGAAGACATCAAAAATTACATAAACTCTTGTGAAATATGTCAGCGCAATAAGATTCAAAGAAAAACTTTTAAAGCTCCAATGGTATTAACATCCCAATCTAATGAACCTTTTGAACGTGTTTCTATAGACTTAGTATCATATTCTGACATTAGTGACAATAATAACAAATACATATTGACACTACAAGATGAACTAACTAGGTACGTCCAAGCTTATCCAATTTCTGATAAAGAAGCTCTAACAGTTGCTAAGCAACTCTTTCACTTCTGTCAACATTTCGGTGTACCTAGACGTTTCCATTCTGACCAAGGTACTGAATTCATGAATGGACTAATGAAGCAATTAATAAGACTTCTCGGTACAAGTCAAACTTTTAATACAGCTTACCACCCTCAAACTAATGGTGCATTAGAAAGGTTTCATGCCACACTTCGAGATCACATACGAATGTACCAGGCACGTAAATTGAAAAATTGGGATCAAATTATTCCACTGGCTATTATATGTCATAACACCTCAGTTAATAGCTCTACAGGTTTCACACCCTACGAACTTCTATTTGGTTTTAAACCAAGACCTTTTTATTCATTAAAAACAATACCCGATTATGCTGCATTCGATTATATTAAAGATTTAAACGAACGACTTAGAATAGCCCGCGATGTCGCAACACAGAACGTTCAGAAAATGAAAGAAAAAGCCAAGGAACGTTACGACGGGAAAATTAAAAATATTGCTAAATTCAATGTAGGTGACAAGGTGATGATCAAGGTCCCTAACCCAAATAATTTAGATAATAAGTGGGAAGGGCCATTCGATGTGATACGTGTAGGCTTTAATGAAAATTATGTTATTCGTAAATCCGGGAGACATCAGTTAGTTCACGCAAATAGATTAAGACCTTATGAAATAAATAAACTCGTTAATTAAATAAATAATTAGCCGTGTGGTAGCCGGCTTTACCAAAGAATAGCACTGACGTTCAGATTTGACGTGTCGTATAAGGCGACTAACAAACAATTAGCCGTGTAGTAGTCGGCTTTACCAAAGAATAGCACTGACGTTCAGATTTGACGTGTCGTATAAGGCGACTAACAAACAAGTAGCCGTGTAGTAGTCGGCTTTACCAAAGAATAACACTGACGTTCAGATTTGACGTGTCGTATAAGGCGACTAACAAACAATCAGCCGTGTAGTAGTCGGCTTTACCAAAGAATAGCACTGACGTTCAGATTTGACGTGTCGTATAAGGCGACTAACAAACAATGAGCCGTATAGACGCCGGCTTGTACAAAGAATAGCTCTAACATGTTAAGTTGTTTCCACATCAAACAACTTATAGTATTAATTTATTATAAGCAATATTCAAAATCAATTAAATCAATAATTCCTCAATAATCAATTAAATCAATAATTATTCTATAAGCAATGAAATCAATAATTCTTCTATAATCAATTAAATCAATAATTCTTCAATAATCAATTAAATCAACAATTCTTCTATAATCAATTAAATCAATAATTCTTCTATAATCAATTTAATAAATAATTCTTCAATAATCAATTAAATCAATAATTCTTCTATAATCAATTTAATCAATAATTCTTCAATAATCAATTAAATCAATAATTCTTCAATAATCAATTAAATCAATAATTCTTCAATAATCAATTAAATCAATAATTCTTCTATAATCAATTAAATCAATAATTCTTCAATAATCAATTAAATCAATAATTCTTCAATAATCAATTAAATCAATAATTCTTCAATAATCAATTAAAGCAATAATTCTTCAATAATCAATTAAATCAATAATTCTTCAATAATCAATTAAATCAATAATTCTTCAATAATCAATCAATTTTAATCATTATACAAAATATCATTTTTGTTATATTCGTTAGCTTACGAATCGTCCTAAAATCGTCTTTATTTCTAATAAAAAATAAAACATAATTAAAACATAAATTTATAAATAATAGTTCTTATGTTTGTTCAATTCGATATTACCTTAATAAATTAGAAAAAAACTTGTAATAGAATCTTCTTTCTTGATGCTCGAACAAATCTTAATTATTTCTTCAACAACTAAAAACTTCAATGAAAGTATATTTAAGATAACTTATGATGATCGAATAATTAATGAAAATATTCAGTCTCAACGATGACTTACATTCAAGTTAAAAGGTTCTTTATTTTAAATCTTTAGATTAGGCTAGTGTAGACATTTCCGTAATTTCTTTGCAGATATTAGAATCGGTAATAAATCTAGAAAATGAAATTAATGATTGTTTAGCAAGCATATTGTTCGTAAAATCTAATACAATACATCCCTCTATAATAACTCTTAAACATCTATATGAAGAACTTTTATTATCTAATCATATACGTACCAACAAACACTTAGTTACTCCAGTCACTATTGAAAATATTCATCAAATATTAGACTCAGCTTCTCTTTCTGCTTATGTATATTCTGATAGACTTGTATACATATTAGATTTTCCATTAACTCAAGGCGAACCTCTCAATCTCTATCACATATATTCCATTCCAATTCAACATTTTAATTCCTCTCTGCATACAACCATCCTACCTGAGCATATGTATTTGGCTACAAATCCTAGCGGTAATATATACGTATCTACGAGCGACTTCACTTCATGCAAGTCCTACGCTATAAAGAAGAAGATCTGCACCTCTTTTGTCGCATATGAAGCAGCATCACGTCCATTATGTGAGCTCCAGATCCTGTTAAGCATTTCAAAGACTTTACCTGAAATTTGTACCACATCCACATTTGAAGCAAGAATTAACACTTTTCAAAACATTGACAACAACCAATGGCTTTACATACTTACAGAAGACACTAATTGTATACTTCAATGTAAAACGGAAGTTACACATCATAAATTACAAGGAGCAGGCATTTTATCCTTACCGGAAAACTGCAAACTTTATACTGGGTATAGTACGCTAACAGCCTTTCAATCTATTGAAGAAAATGTAACATATCCTGTAATAGTTCCAGACATTAGAACAGACGATTGCTTTGAAGAATACAAGAACTTTGAAGCTCCAAACTTAATTCCTATTAAAATTAATGAAATGCCTTTGGATTCACTGAAACAAATAAAACATCATGTCGATAAATTTAAGGAAAGCTTAGAAAATATGAGATCTCGACCAATCTTACAAAGATATTCGTCAACGTTTACATGGATATACTTCGTGTTATTCATAACAATGCTAGGATACTTCATTTATAAAATTAGCAAACGTTGTCCTAATGGATTACTCCTGCGTAACCGAAGACCAAGCCGTGATAATGGTTGTATACAAATATTTAACAACTGTTTTTCAAACACATCACGACGTCAAAGAATCCAAGTTGCCGTCCCGATGACTACTATAGCAACAAGTACCTGCGTAACGGAAGACGAAGAGGAAAATGAAGAAAATTATCCAAGAACTTCAACACCGAGAGTTCAAAGATCAAGCTCTCAAGCCCAATCTTTATTCTAAGGGGGGAGGTGTTACATATATTAAGAGTACGTGACCTAAGACCATGTGTCAGCCTACGACCTAATCATTATAATATTTGACATTCCTATTTGTATATTTGTATTTGTCCATTTGATATCGAAATCATTATATTGTTTAATATTCATATTTGTATATTTGTTTATCTCATACAAATTTCCATTAGTAAGTTATTATCTGTATTTGTTGTCACTCTATCAATGGAAGTATTTGACTATTGTAATTGTAAATAGTAATTAAGATATCTCTACTATATATATGGACGATTTGTAATAATAAAGACAGTTCAATTCAGATACTCTACGAGTCTAGTCATTTCAAAAACACCAACTGTGTTAAAACCCTGCCCCATAACAAACTCACATATATTATAGTAATGTGATTAGCCGATCAAGCAATAGACGATAAATATGTGTCAATGACGTCAGCTAATAGATAAAAAATCCATAAAAAGCATGATTGCCAAATTCTTTGAAGTGATGGCAATTCCGGGTTATTACAGCGATTCGTAACAAATAGATTGTTAGCATGCCTAATAGAATAGCCTAACTAAACAAATTGTTTTTCCTCGCTAAATAACAAACGGTACAGCTACAATTACATCAGCAGTTTAGAAACGTAGTTATGTAATAAATAATATCTTTGGCAAAATCTTATTTTTACCAATCAAGCAAATCTATAGAAAACTAAATGCCAGCACTTGACCGATAAATTATTTTTTTAACCTACGACGAACGTTACATACAGACGAATAGAAACATTAAAATCTTATTACAAGAAAGGAACTCATGTTACTAATAAATATTTTTTAGGTTGAACCGTTGAGGTAACCGAACCCGGAACTTGCAACGGATATTACGGATTCCAAGAAAGTATCACGTTATTCAATAATATTCATAAAACATTAACACCAACTGAATCTCTAAGGTTTATTATCTCTAAGTTTTCAATTACAGCATGTTGAGCAAAAAGTCTCTGCGTGTCAAGTGTATCGTATCAAAGTGGGACAGGCGACAGACGTGATTGTCTTAAAATAGCAACATTAATGAGTGTAGCGCGAAAATATGAAGCTTATGCAGCCAATAAACAAATGATTGCTGACAATTACTGCTGGAGCGAGTTGGCCGGCGCGGCGGTGCGCGGGGCGGCGACGTAATACGGTAGCTCAAAGGCGCCAGGGCTGCATTCTTTGCCAACGGAAAATATTTTTAAAACCAATGACTTCTGAGTTTAAAAAATGAAGTTTTAATAATAAACACAAAAAATAAAGTACATGTAGCTCATTCTATACGCTTGTTCTTTGTAGTATAATTTTAATAACATTGCCGGTTATTTGATTACAATTATTTTAATTCTACTACTATAATAAATATAATATATTTATAATACATTTGTAATATACATGTAATATATACATATATATTATAAATTATTCTAAGCAACTAACCTGTGATATAGACTTTCGCTGAATAACATCTAGTTCAATAAAATATTTAATAAAATTGCCTAACTTTGACGTATATTATATACGCGTCACAAATGCTACAAAGAAACCTTTATGGTGCGACTTTATCCATCTGTCACAAAGTTATATTTTAGCAACTACTAATGCTCTCGATTTGATATTCGGAATATTTGTACAGTACATATCATTAAACCGTACACATTACAATGCAAATAATTGAAGAAAATATTTTACTTTGCTAGCGTATGCAAAAGGGGTACTCAAAATTTCAAAATTACAAATTTAACTTTTAAAATACTAGTCCAAGTGGAAGGAATGGGATTGTTAGTAATGGAACTAACAGCTCCATTACTAGCAATATAGGATATGTCAAGTCCACCTCTACGTAATTCTCCTTGGAATCGTGGTTAATTCTTATGAAATTCATTCCAATGGGTTAACTGATCTGTTTTCATTCTTACCTATCATCACTCACTAGTGCCTTATCTTATATACAGCTAGAACAGGCGGGGTTACCTTTCCATTCTCATCCATTAAAAAAAGAATATCTAAACCAAGTGAACTTTATTTGTATATTTTATATTACAAAAAAAATAATATTATAATTAACATTATTCTTTTTTTGATATAACAAAACTAACAAAAAAGCTATATATAATAATAATATATATTATTATTATAATATATATAATATATATATATATATATATATAATATATATTATTATAGTATCAATATATATTATAACTATTAGGTCTCTACTTAGTATGAGAAATGCAATGCAGGTTATTTTATCTCATATTTAAATATTTATGTACGGAACCCTTTGCGTATAAGTTCTACCCGCACCTGACCTGTTTTATTTTTAATTTTTTTATATAAACTACACTTATACATATGTACATTCTTATAATATTAAACTATTTGAAAATTCTATTAAAAGTAGTGAATATACTATAAAAATATAATATACTGAAGTAAAACATGTGAAAGTATTCCTATATGATCGAATCGCCAACAAGTTGCAAATTGTAATTCCAGCACTTGCGTACCACATCTATCTATCTACAAATACGTACAGTATAATGCTAATGCAATAGATTATTTCGGAAGTTTAGTTTCTCTAATAAATTACGGGAGATTTGTTATTATAATTTACATGTTTGTAGAAATTGATAACAGGTAAAAACAGTCCTTAATACATATTTATATGATTGTAATAAAACTGCCTGTTCGGCATGGTTAATAGTTATGTATGGTATATTGATTTCACATTATTTATTCCTAAGTACAAAGCTACATAAAAATATTACTTTGTTATATAACAATAGTAATATGGATGCAAGTGAAAATAAACAAAATACGACATGTTGCCACGACACGTAGAGTCGAGATTATGCTACCCTGCCCACTCCAGTCCACACGGTTGCGGACGCCCGGGCGCCCACTCCGGCGCGGCGGCTGCGTATGCGCATGGCGCAAGGACGTCGACCCCCGCAGCCTTGGTTCAGGCAATTAATTTCAACAATGTTTTGTCTCTTACTCACTACTATGTGATTAAAATTTATAATCCAGTCCCATTTAGAGATTTTAGTATACAGATTTCTAAAAAGAACACATAATTGGATAATCAGGAGATTCTTGAGTTTTTTATTGACTAGTCGTTCCACATTAAGAATTTATTTTAAAAGAGATATATACCTATGGTTTTTAACTTAATCTATGTTGCTATATTTATTTATTATAATATTACATTTCTCAGACGCTGAGTCGCTGCTACGTAGGTATATTCCAAGAAAAAATGTCAAGAGTGATTCCAGATTCTTTGATTGTTATTAACAGTCTGAAAAATGTAATCATCGAGGACCGAGATACGATCGATTACCATAAATATGAATTCCTTTGAAATAAGGAACATGTTTTTGTATACATGTTCTTTATTCAAAGTTCTGACCTGAATGTATTGCTTCGAATATACGGAGAGCAGATATCCTACTAATAAAATATAATGAAAGATTATAAAGATATTTGAATATTTGTATATGTATTACAATGCATGATTGAATGACTAAATGAGTTTGAATGAAATTTAGTATACGGGTAAATTATCTATTAACTAAAATACCAAAGTAAGTAAGGCAAAGCCGCGAAAACAGTTAATGGATAATAATCACTAGTTTATAGTTTATATCAGGCAACCCTAAACCAATTTACATTCATGAAAGTGAACAATTTTCAAGTCCAAGCGAAGAAATAAACATAATTCGAAATATAATTTCACATTGTTGTTGTTATTTTGTTCATTATGTGAAAAAAAATAACTGATTACTAAGGAAAGTGATATTTTTTTGTTAAAAAAAATATTACTATATTTATTATAGACTTACTTTGGAGATTATATCATTTTCATTACATCTATATTATCGTCTAATCCTTAATAAATAATTTCTGAAATTCAAATTCGTAAACTGTTAACGAACAACATACGTTTTTATATTTCAAATAAGAATGTATTCAAACCTTATTTGACTTCTATGCATTAAATTATGTTTCACGTTAAATTTTTACTAACAATACAAAGCAATTGAATCATTGTATATGTACAATATATTATGTTCGTATTACAAAAAATCTTAAAATTAATAAATAACAGTTTACTAAATATATTTTCGTACAAATCGTACCTCCAGCTTTTTTAAACTTAAGTAAAAACGTATTTTTCCTTGTATTTTAAAGAAAGAATTTTTTCATAAAATGTCGACCTATTTACATCGTTAACTTCTTAGAAAATTTATTTCTATTTTTAGTGTGCAACTAATACGATATTAAAATCTGTCGAATGCAAAAAGACTTAAAGAAAAAAAAGAGAATTTTCCTGTTTCGAGACGCATAAAAATTAAAATAACTGCGTATTAAAACTGAATTGGATAATGTTTATGCTGGTCCATAAAACTAGCATTTAATTACATTTTAGAATTTGACCATGTCTAATTTATAGAAGATACTTTCAGCATAGTTGATTGTAATGGTTATTTAAGAAAGTCATTAACCTGTCAACGGGCGATTGTATATAGCGTTTTTTTTAAGAGACGTTTCGTCGCGCTTCATTGAAACACGGTGTGATAGTTATTAAGCTTTTACGCTTATTTATACACTAGTATTTGGGCTACGTTTTATTTTACGTTTCAGTACTTCAATTTTACCAGAGGGAGATTAGATTGATGGTTTTATGTTTGTTATTCTGTCACACAAAAGCTACTAAACGAATTTGAATGAAATTTGGTATATGGATTGGTTACATTCTAACTTATTGTATATACATACATACATACATATCTGTCACGCCTGTCTCCCATTAGGGTAGGCAGAAACAATGGAATGTTATGCTTATTGTATATGTTATTTTATATGCTGATTCACATAGATAAAGCCACGGGATATAGCTAGTACGAAATAAAAACAAACAAAAAAACAATTAAAATATATATTCTAATAAAAAGTCGATGGAAATTTGTAGAGATATTTTTAAAATGTAGTTTTCTGACGATTTTACATCTATAAAATATGTTCGGCAAATATTTGCCTATATTTTTTTCTGTAATCAATACGTATCAACCATTGCACAAATGTCTCTAATGTATCATAAATATATGTGCACTGATTGATCAATCATAATATTTTCTTACCTTAATGATACACGGAATTAATATAAAAAATTAACAAACAAGATTTCGTTGTACAAAAATCAATTGCTAAATAAATTATCTAAATCGATTCAGAATTAACAAAAATAAAGCATACCAAAAATGCTTGCAAAACAAAAATTCCGGAAA